AAGTCTGCGACGTCGCAAACCGAGATACGTGGTTTGGTAGTTTCACCATCGATATACACCTGCGAGCAGTGGCGTGGCGTGAGTGATCGATTATCGATATTCCCCCATTTGAAGCTGAGGTAAAAAATCGATTATTAAGGTGTTCGCTGCGAACGCCGTGTTAATCGATCGTTTTCCATAGGTTTAAATGACAGATCAATCGATATATCGCAAAGCACGCCACGCTACTGCCTCCGAGTTACAAGCGCTTGTTGAAAGTGAAACACCGATGGGAAACCAGGACTTCGATCGCTTGATGTCGAGCAATCGAAATCCTCCTTGTATATACCGCCTGCGCAGGGAAACTTGGAGCACGTATGCTGTTTCTGAAATGAGCCAAAAATTGTAGTTCCTAATCGCGAAGTGCAGTCCTTATGAGGCCTTTGGTTTCAACCGCTGTGAATCTATCACATGGCCGCTATTCGATTAGCATCAACGACGGAACGTTTCATTTACGAAGAAACTGTAACAGTGATTATTTTGCGAACCGTCGGGACAATCCCTGATAGTTGTGATTTTAATTTCCACTGGAAAGCAAACAAACAAACGCGGGTAACAGTATAGTATACACGATACAAAACAATTTTTAAGTGTCTAGCAACACAACTTCCAAGCTCATATACCACTTCGTTCATTCTTCCCGGAAGGGGACAAATAATTATTCATGTATCGTATCGATGGGTACCTACGGAACTATTTACCCTGGATTCACCTCAAATTCTCCTTTATTGAACCGCAGCCCGCATCGATTTTGACTCGGCACTGCAAGTCCACAGCGTCACTTTTCTGGTAAGTCAGTTGCAAGCGCCCGAGTTGCGCTGCGAGCGGTCCCGGGGAGGGACGATGGAAGGGCCATTGCGTTCCCACGCGCGTCGACGTCATCGGCGAGTCACCCCTCAGCGCCGGGGTGCCCGGTGCCNGGGGGGGGGGGGGGGGGGAGGCGGCCGAAAATAGGAGCCGAACAACCCCGCGACAAGACCGCGCCGCGCGTAAATAAAAACGCACCCCGACCCCGCGTTAATGGACTCACCCCCGGGAAGAGACCGACATCCTGCCCGCGACGCGACCCGCGGCTCCCGGAAATCCCGCTGTTGATCCCCGCGAGCTGCTGCTCCTCGTTTGGGTCTCTTCGCGATCTGTCACCGCGAGGAAGACGATCCCGTTAATTAGGACCAGTTGCGTGGCGCTTTGCGATCAGTGTTCGAAACTCACAGGCGCCAACTTGCCAAATGCGCCTAAAAAATCGGCCATGACGCCTAAAAAATGAAGGCTATGCGCCAACGTGGCCCCTAAAAATCTGAATTTTCATATTAGGTGATTATTCGAAATTTTCAGCACCACAAATGAAAGCTTTTTCTGTTCCTCACGATTCCATCATTTGTGCTTTTGTCTCCCCCAAAGTTACAGCTACTTGCTAGTTCTGTCACGAAAACATCTTGCGTCTAACTTTTCACTAAATGTGCCGTAATATATAGGCATTAAGTCAATTTGGCTCCTGAAAAATCTTCAATGGCGCCTAAAAATCGGGCTTGATGCGCCATATGGCTCCTAAAACTCAAAGGTGAGTTTCGAACACTGTTTGCGATGTATCCATTGATCTGCCATTTCAACCCATGGAAAAGTATCGAGAAACAGGGTGTTCTCAACGAGCACCTTAATCGATTCTTCGCCATAGCTTCACATCGATAATCGATCGTTCACGTCTCATTACTGATTAGGACCTATCCTTTTTCGGAAGGGAATTTTTCACCGCTAAAAATCTAGTCTTCAGGCACCTTAACCGGGAGTACCTTTATAGGGAGAGTATGGACAACTCGAAAATTTTGAGGCTAGATTTGATCAGGTCATATATCTCTGGGGTTCCAAAAGGGCAGCCAACCTATGAACTCGAACTATCCAGTGATACTAATTTAAACTGCGAGAGTAGGTACACTGATTAAAAATTATAGAAGCACGTATGAAACTTTGATTTTGCATACATTTTCTCAGTTTCAAAGTCTTAATCCTTAAAAACGCTTGTTAACAATGCGCTGTCGGCCCTATTGATTAATATTTCAAATGTATAGGTTGACAGCGGCACTATTCTAATGATTTTCGTGTTTCACGTTGTCGCCCTTTTGGGCCCTAAGAGCTCCATCAATCAAGTTGTTGTCCATACTCCTATTAAAGTTACTCTACCTAATCCTGTAAAATTATCGAACATTTTATTCCTGGAAAAGCATACTAGTGAAACCTGCGTCACCGTGTTGTATGTTGAAATTTTAAGAATTTATGAAAAGCAAAAGCATCTGTTTAGTTCCTCAGGATGAGTCTTGCAGAAGTCACAAATCATAGTACTGATCCCCAAAACGAAATACTTCCAAATCAATTCAGGTTGCTCCTCGTTTCAAAGGTTTAACGACGTTCAAGGCGATGAAAGGTTATAATTGAGGTGGGATTCGACGACACCCAGTGTCTTGGCAACCCCCGACCGGAACCCGGGGAACGGGGTACGCGGGGTTGTTTTATGGGGGGTCGTAAATAAAGGTCGAACGCAACCCTCCCATCAACAAGTGCCCTAATATCCTTAGCCTGTTTTTTTTTCCTCCCGCGAGTGGCGACGGACGGACAATGGGATTGTTTTCGGCTTAATTGAGGGATATCTCGACGCCTCGCCTTCCCGATTCGCGCCGGTCAGGAAAACCAAAAAAGGGGCAGCGGTAAAACAAAAGCGAGCGGAACAATGACCACCCCGGGGCCGGGATAAACCGTAAAAGGATGATAAAGGCTCAGTTACACGCCAAGAACGATGTTTGGACTGTTTTGCGTTCGCGGGATTTGGTTTGAAATGCGCTGCGCAACGGCCGCAATTAAAAAGCATGTGCCCTGGGATTTTGCGTTTTCTCGAAATTCTGAGGTCGTGGCGGAGCCGTCCCTGGGAATCCTGGGATGGATGATGTCACGCCTGATTTTTTATTTTAATATTTTTGCTTTTCTGGGAATTTTTCTATTTCGTATGTAGATTAAGGATTTCGTTTAAACTCTCAACTCCGGTTACGCTGAGAAATAGAAAACGCCGTATAAACGATCATTCGGATGCTGCCAAATCTTCGAGGAAATACGGCTTCTCTGAACAACTTTCGATGTTTTAATTAAAGTTTTTTCAATTTTGTTTGGGTGTATTTAATCTGAACAGACGCAGGGTGTCTACCGTCAGAAAAACCGGAAAATTCGATGTCATTAGGATTATCGGGCCTGGATAAGAAAATTCTGAGCGTGTCAAACATTAATTTTATAACTACACGCAGTTTAGCACATGCAAAAGTAAAACACCTCAAAGGATTCATTGTGTATGTTGGTTTGTACAATCAAACGTTTGATTTGAACGTCAAACGTTGATTGAAACGTCAATTTCACCAAATCGGGAAATTATCAAGAAAATCCAAAATGAAACTTTAATAGACACCTTGGGGCACCTTAGACTTTAACTAACCTCCTCCTGTCCTACCATTTATTCCATACTCAAAGCTTCGTCTGTGAGCGCATAGGAAAATAATAAAAAAAAAGATTATGACTAAGCTGCGCTCATGAGAGCATAAGAAACTTTAGTGAAACACGGGTCGGAGCTCATTATTACGATTACTTCCGCAGGTTTTTATGTAATAACTTAAGGATGTTCTCGAAGGGTGCAAATCCTTTGTACATGCGGTAGAAAAATTCGCGACCCCTTGACGGTAAACCGGGAAAGGTTACGAAGAGGTAAGCGATTGATCACGAGGTTCGCCTTGTGCACACCTCCGGACGTCCACCCGCGAACGACCCCCAAAACGACGTCATCGAACGGGGACGGGGCCCCCACGAACAGCCCACCGTGAACTTTAACCCCCGCCTACCCCCGAGCCGATCCGGCGATGAATTCGTCCTTGACGGAAAAGGGATTAAACTCCTACGGAGCCCTAATACGATTATTATGAAGATATCTGCCGGGCCGGCCTCAATCAATACAACAGCGAGTACATCAAACCCCCGCCCCCCGCCCAGCCTCGCGTCACACGAGCCCCCCTTACCCCTCCACCCTCCCGGTCGAGGGGCTGGTGTCGGCCGGTCATCTGCCGAGGGGGTTTTCGTTTTCGAGTTGCCGCACTCAGCGCAACAGTTTTTCACAGCCTTCCAACGATAGCGTAGGCAAAATCCTTGCACGGCGCTGTTGATCTAATTGGACAGAAACCGAAATCGAACTGCATTTCGCGTTGGTCGATATTCTCTCGTGTCGTGCGTTTTTTTTTTATCATAGGAAACTACGCTAATTCCTCGAAACAATCTGCAAACCTCCAGAGTGTTGAAATTGTGCTTCGTGCACTCCTATGTCATTTCCGCTTCTAACACCGTACACTATCGATTCTCATTAGAACGATGAATTGGATTGAATTTTGCAATAATGAACCACTATACTGGCTCTTCCGTAAAATCACGTATCTGCATAGGGAAACCAATGGCATACATGTCGTTTCTAAAATGAGCCAGAAATAATGGTTCCTTAATGCAAAATGTAATCCAATGCTAAGTCGAATCGACTTCGTTTGATCGCGAACCATTTCGTCAAATCTAGTAGAAAAAACAGCAGCGCTGTGTTAACCGTATTTTGGACGGGCACTAAAGTTATTCAGAAGAGGCAAAATTTGTCCGGGGNGAGGGTGACAGCAAAACATCAAAATACCCATGAGCGCCCTAAAATTTACCAAGATTGCCCTCATTGTAATGTCACTTAAATGCAGGAGTAGGGAGAAATTCCTCCCTTGGAAAAGTTTGAACGGATACCTCAAGGAGGTAGCACTTTCAACTTCGAAGTCAAATTACTGTGGAAATATCCTCTTCCTTCGACTGGGGTATGAACTCTGCTGTTCCAGCCAGTGCTGTATCAGACATTGATAAAAGTTTGGTTTCTAACATATTCTTGACTGTTTCAATTATTTTTGTTTCAGGCCGAACGGTGGACAGCATTCTGGGACCCAGCGGTCGAATTTCGGCCTTGCAGCCTCCCCCGGCTTTGAAACCCTCCGCACCAGCTCCGTAAGTGTTTTCTCTTATTACTCCCCTCTCCTTTCTGACCTCAAGCCCCTCCTCTCGCCCCTCTTTATCGTCGTTGTGTTGTGTTGTGTCCCTTTTTATTGTTTTCCCATTGCTCGGATTAAACGCTACTTCCAGGTCTGTATTTAGGCCAGAAGTTCCTGTAGTTGACTCAACATTCTGAACTTTTAAAAGCATCTTCGCAGTGGTGACTCTATCAAGTTGGCAACACTGTTAATTACTCCATTTAAATCCATTGAATATATCGATTTAAGGTGAGACAAGCTGCCTCACCTAGAATCGATTGTTCAACATACGTTTTAATAGGGGAAAATAGTATTGCCAACTTGCAGAAATCGCCTCTGCATCTTCGAGGAAAGTTTCTAGTGGAATTCTTTTATGCGTTATAATGAGTCTAACTTCGAGCAAAGAGGAATTTTTTCGAGCATGCAAGCAAGGACCCAAGTTCTGACCGCCCTCTTTTCCCTTACTAATCTCTTTTGTACAGATATTGCCGTGCTAGGGAGAGACGCCGTGTGAACTTGCAGAAGTTGCCAAATTCCCATAAATCCCTGATGCATTTTTCAGGAAAGTTGTAAGCACTTCTCCTCGAAATTTTTAAAAAGTTTAAATTTAATTGCGAGAACAATTCATTGACTACCGCACGAAAGAATGTACTATCTTGTCTGCGCTGTTTCAATATTTCTACGAACATCGGTGTCTTTTCTTTCAAGTTAGAAGGCGAATAATTTGAAATTTCAAGCCCATGTATGATATTTTCTTCCGTAAAAAGGTATAATTTGCGGTAAGGAACATGGCACCACGCAATCGATGTAAGTTCGGCCAGGGTTGCCAAAGATTTGGAAAACTTGGAAAGTCAGGGAATTTGCCGTAAAAGTTCGGGAAAGTTGGGGCATTTTGCGAGCAGTGGTTGACAGAAGCCAATGTAAATAAAATAAATAAATAAATAAAACAAATAAAAAAAACTAATTGGACGTTTTGTTCGAGGGGCAAGAAAACCAGAGGCTCCAAAAATTTCAGAGTCGGAGAAAAATCGGAGAAAGTCAAGGAATCGGAAAGTAAAGAAATCAAGGAAATCCTTTGTCTTAATTCGTCCGACAAATTTGCTTAAAACTAAAAGAAAAATGGACTGCATTTTGCAATTTGGAGCTATGAACTCTGGCTCATCTGAAAAAACACTTAGGTGCACAGGGAAGCTAATGGCACATACGTTGTTTTTAAACCGGGACGGAATTTATAGTTCCTAATTGCAAAGTGTAGTCCAGATGTTCTCAAGTTTCCCCCAAAAATTCGTTGTCATTGAAGGAAACGAAACAACGCCTGTAGGCACATACGGGGCTCCTCCTTACCTTGGCAGAATGTTAATCTGTCCTCGGGTGTCTAAAATGCACGAGGCGCTTGCCTCTTGATCTCCTGAGCATCTTGTTATAGGTTTTTTTTCTTTCTTTGGACCCATAAAAAAAGGTTGATTTCGGGAGAAACCGTCTGGTGGCGTGTGCTGGGCGGTGAGGGCGCTGCTGGCTCGTGCCTGTGCCTGATCACCTGTGCGCCATCTGCCAGCTGCAATCAGGCGGCTGCTCGTCTGATTTTAACCCTTCCCACATCCCACTCTGTTGCCAATCTGTGAGCCCTCTTTTTAATAGACTAATCCGGTGGATGAGGCGTTCGATACATTGCGATAAAATTTTCCAAACCTAATTGGCCCGTCTGAATTTCGATTTGTTTTCCCGCGCCTTGAAAGCGCGGTAAACTTAAAACAGCCGATCAGAGGGTTGAATTTCTAGAGATATGTTTTTTTTTTACAATTGAACCAGCGAATATATCGATCTATGAATGACGGAGTCCTTAAATCAGTCATGAAAAGTCCTTAAATGAGCAGCCAAAATTGAAACAATCGCGCCAGGCACAGAATCGTGTTTTGATGGTTTAAGCATGCAGATCAGTTAAAATTAGTCAGATCTGCCAACACACTTTTCTACGTCCAATATTGATGTAAACTCGGCGCCTAAAACCAGCCACCGCAAAAATACAACTCGTGGTTTGAAGCGTGCTTTATACTACCAGGAATCGGTAAAAATGTGTTCATTATTGTTCGATGAAACTAAGGTGGAAGAAAAACTTGCACTACCTCGGTAGATGACGTCATACGCCGTCCGATATAGAGTTGACACTCTTTTTCTCTGGCTTGTCCCAACTGCGACCACCTCGGATTCAAGGTGCTATTAAGCTTCGATAGTAATCGATTATTCCGCACATATTTGGACTGCATTTTGCCATTTGGAACTATAAATTCTGGCCCGGTTTAAAAAAAACGCATGTGCAATTAGTATCCCTATGCACCTAAGTGTTTTTTTCAGATGAGCCAGAATTTATAGTTCCAAATTGCAAAATGCAGTCCATTTAAACTGACGAAGACTCAATGTTGCCAACCTATGAGGATCGCCATTGCACTCGTGCCGGACGTGCAGGTGTGCCACGGAAGAGCGGGTCCACGATTGCCAACTCGGAATGAAAAATCAACATGTTTGCTCCTCCTGGCGTAAAGACTTAACTGCCTTTCGCGACCAGCCCTGGCACCCAGTGCTCTCCCGGGCTCATCCTTAAGAGTAGTTACGCCTTTTCGTCGGCTTACTGTACGTAAAATACGGACGTTTCAAGGAAGGATCCGGCACGATGCGGAGCGAGTCCTGGGGGCGCCGTGACGGCGTAATGACCACTTCCTGCCCTGGTTAACCCCGCGTGGGGGTGGGGGTGGGGGAGGGGGCGACGGAAGTGGATCTCGTGTAGGCCCGCGAAAAACACCCAATTGCGACCGCCGCGCGCTGCGCTCCTGGGCGGAGACCCATGCCGTCCCGATCTCCGTCATCCTCGCGTCCGCTAATTGCTACGGATCTTGGATCTCGCGGGTTCCCCCTCCCACCCCCCGCCTCCCCAAGCTGCATCGGATGGTCGAGGGGCCCGGCACCTGAGGATCCAGTTACCCCAGGGTTTGTTCTTATCCTTAAGTTTCGGATATTCTGATTTGACTCAAATTTGTCGATGGGAAATAGTCCCCACGTTGAGTTAATCGACAAATCGTCGCTGCTCCAACGTAAGAAAGGACGTAACTCAATTCTCGTGTAAGCGTTGTTCTCGGCGTAACTCCACGCTTCTCGAGGCTCATATGGAAATATAGATACGCCCTTACGCCAGAGGAGCCATGAAATGGGAGTGGAGTATCGCAGAAATCGGCGATTTGCGCTGGCCGTAGAATCGTGTCTGAACGGCTTCTTAGGAAAAAAGCATATAATCTTCTCAAACGCATCAAATTGGTTGCTCATGAATCCTAGGCTGCTCACAGGCGAAAGATACACTGGGAAAAGAGGCTCTTGGATCTAGAGTCTAGACTCTAGAAATTGAAGAAAGAACACTCTTGACTCAATCGGAATGTTGCTTGAGAGCCCGATCTCTTAATTTAAGCTGCTTTCTTTTTGATTCAAGTGAAAATCCGATCGAATCAAGCAAGAGTAATTTTTCTTCTCAAATTTTTTAAGACTCTGGTTTCCATGTTTCTGCATGTGCGTGTGTACGTGTGATT